CCCGAGAGACTCAAGAGGGAAAACCCAAAACTGGTTCTTAAGTAGTCTACAGCTGTGAGGCGTGGCAGCGATTAAGAAGGCTGACTGGATCATCAGGTATGATGTCTATGCCTTCTGTAATTGACAGAGGCTTGTCCTTGATTACGAGAGCCCATGACCGATAGTCTATGGTAATAATTCTCTACGTACTGTACTCTAGAAAGGAAAAAGTACAGAGGTGAGTGTGAGTCACATAAAAAATAATGTATGAAATAGTACGAAAGCACACCTTCTCCATATACTGTAATGTTATCTCAACTGAAAAACAAAACTGTCTAAAAGTCAGGAACTTTCAGCAGGTAAACAGGAATTAAAGTACTCCTTAGCTGATGAATGTCAAGGAAAATGTGAGTACTGTATCTATGTTACGCATACCCACACCCACACCCTGTAGAACAAGCTCACGCCGCAAGTAAACGCCAATCACCTTTCTCTCCCGTCTCTATTTTAGTTCCCCTTTTTCCTCACTTCCCCGCTCACTATTGCAGATTATTTTCGAGCTCCCTAGTGCGCGTTTATTTCTTGCTTCTCTCCGGTTTTCGATCTCCTAGCCTGCTTCTCGTTTTCGATTTCGCCTTGTGATTTGGATTGCTGCTTCCTCGTTTGTACTTCCGTGTTCTGACCTACTCGCCTGCTTCCTGGATTCGATTTCGCCTTGTGTTTTTGGATTGTTTCTTCCTCCTTGTCTCTCCGTGTTCCGACCTACTCACCTGCCTCCTGGTTTTCGTTTTTGCCTAGCGTATCTGCTTGGTGTCTTTCTCTTAGTCTTGAGTCCTGCATAGGATCCTATTGCCCTAGCAGCCCTAATCTTACAATCTAAGTGAGCTGTCATTCAGCACCACAAACAGCTCCCCTTTCCTTGTAAATGAGAGACTATAAACACCCTCCTGCTCCAACATCAGTGTGGACAGTTCTGTGTCAGTTAGTTTATGCTTTAGCTTCTCATTCTGCTGTGTTTATTGTGGACCACACTTTGCCAATTGACATGGATCTAGAGGGAAAACAAATTCTGATCGTGATTCATTCTCTAACCATTACCATTACAAAAGCTGTTGGGGAAACAGGATCTGAACGCTGTGAGGATCTGGATTCTATCATGAATCCACTCACGGTGATGAAGACGCAGTAGTAATGTACCAGCACCCTTTCCAGAAGGAAAAAACATTCACACATACAGTAACTGATTGATCTGACCCCTTGGGACTCAAGAGCAGTCCTTTTCCAGAAGGATGTTTCAGAATTGCTGCTTGAACTTGTGAGCGTAATGGGTGACTGGTTCAATGGTTAACTCAGAGATCAGCATAACCAATCTGAGATGAGCTCATTCAGTTCCTTTCTTTGGCTGTTATACACTGTATGTGTAAGGTACTGTAGAGGCAGGCAAACCTGGTCTTTGATTCTTAATGTTTTTGTCCAGTTTATGACTCAATGACTTACATGAACCAAGTAAGTGGATAAGGAGTCAATTGTCTTAATCAGGAGTTAATTAAAAGGTCCCTTAAAGACCTGAAAGAACCCAGCACTCAAGAACTAAGGGAGCTTAATTTACCCTGCTCGACTGCCTGGATTAAAGTACCAGTCTTAATCAGAAGCCAGGAAGAGCCTCTGTCTAATAAAATGGTCCACTGGCATCATTGGCCATTTGTAGAGAAATAGGCACCACATTTACATTACACTGGAATTGGTATTAAAGAACATACACAAATATTTTTTCAGACATATAGAGGTCTTTAGCTTGTTTGCATCAAGGCATCTTAAGTCAGTAATTGTAGAAATGGGTGTGTCTATGTTACAATACAATAATAAAGAGTAAATTACAGTAGCTCCAAAAAAGCACTGTAGCATAAAATCCCTTTGAACTAGTCTAATGTTTTATTAAGGGCACACAATCAAAGTTGTATACATGACCGTAAAAAGGGCATTGCTTATTTAATAATGGTTTAAGAATTATAATTGTAATAAAATGTACAATACAGTACATAGTATGCACATGTCTGTGTGTCTGCCCTGCAATGGTGTCCTGTCCAGGGTGTACCCTGCCTTGTGCCCATTGCTTGCTGGGATAGGTCCCTCTGAATTACACAAAGCAGTTAGAAAATTAATGTACAGTATGTATAACACATATGTACAGGAGCCTTCCAAAGATACATTTCTGAATATTAGAAGTTTTTTCTTTCCAAATTTAGATTCTAAACATAAACTGAAAGCAGAAAGAGATTAAGTTGAACTCCATTAATCAGCAGAATAAGAGTGAATTAACTCTCTAGTTCAATGATCAGATTGGGCTGTGAGTGAGAAAAGAAACCCCAGACACTGGGACAGGATCTCCAGTGTCCCCAAGGCTGTGGCCACTTGGGGAGTCACTGGAGGGGCAGGATCCCACTGTGGAGGAGACCCAGCTGTGCAGGAGCTGCAGCAGGTCTCAGTAAGATGTTCAAATACAGTATAAGCGTCATATGGCAGTATCAGAAAGTATCACGGAGATCTGACGCAGGCACAAATATTTTTTTTTGTAGACGGGTCTTACAGACTCTAAATGAGGCCCCCAGCTGAAAAATAAAAAGGTGGAGAGTCAGCGCTGAAAAAAAAGAATAAAAAGTACAAAAAAGTACAAAAAGGGAAACAAAAAATGCCTAAGAAAAAATAAGACTCATAATACAGAGGGGAATCCGCTGTATTGTTGCATGGTGAAGCAAGGAATTGAACATAGTAGCTTTCACTGGTGAGACGAGTTTACTCTCGCACGTAAATAGAGGCTCAAATGAC